TTTTACAAGGCCGGGGAAAAAAAAAAAAAAAAAAAAAAAAGTTAGAATAAAAAATCTGCCACCCCCCACCCTCCGGAGAGGCCTCTGCACAGAACGACCCGACATACAAAATAATCTAAAAGGAGAAAACTATACAGGAGTATTTACACCTCTGATAAATAGACTAATACTGATCCAGGCGCCTCTCTCCAGACCATGCGCAGTGGCCGGGGGAACAGGACAAGACACGGGTGTTTGCAAGGCAGAGGCAGGGGGGCTGCAGCCCCCAGCCCGGCCAGACACCCTTGCCAGCAGCCATCCGGGGTGCGGGCTCCAGGCACGTCCCATCACCTGCTCAGGAGCGAGGGCTCATGCTCGAGGAGGTGACAGCCACGCCTGACACGGCCTCCCCTGCCCCTCGCTGAGGGGATCGTGCTGCAAGGATGTGCCGGGGGCAATGCCACCCGGTGCTGCCGGACCAGGGCCCTCATCTGAGCTCCGGCACCCCACAGCTGGACAAGGACATGTCTGTGCCCCATGTGGCACCACTGCACACTGTGATGGTGACAACTCCCTGCCCCTCAGCCCTCCCTGCGCCTGCGAGGACCATCCCCGGTGCAGGGGACAGCTGGGAGGGTCCAGGCAGCAGCATGGGGAAGCCCAGGACAGACCCAGGCCCGCTACAACGAGGGCCAGGAGCCGTGCCTCCGCGGGGCCACCCCCAGCCGCCCTGGGGCTGCCGCCCTTTACCCCAGCACCTGCAGCACCCCGAAACTGCCAGCTGCTGTCAGCTGGTCACCTGACAGGACACCCCAAGTGCTTCAGGACACGAGTGCTGTGGGGGGACCCAGCAGCATAAGTGGCTGCATGCTTGCTGGGGGGATCGGGAGCAGGGAGGGCGTCCATGGCGCCCCACTGCCCAGCCCTGGCTGGCTGAGGCAGAAGGGGAGGACGGTACTCGCACACAGCACTCCCCCTCCTGCAGCTGAGCCTGGGACAGGACGGGGCTCCCTGCGTGCAGGGGTGTTGCTGTCCCAGCTCCAGCCTGTGAAGATGCTGTCCTGGAGATGAGGCAGGGG